AATGTCCACCATACACAAAAATAAACTCAAGATGGATAAAAGACTTGAATCTAAGTCATCATACCATAAAAGTCCTAGAGGAGAACATAGGCAGGAAAATCTGAGATAGTCCACGCTGCAATATTCTCACCAAGATGCCCCTTAGAGCAAGGGACATAAAGGAAAGAATAAATTAATGGGAGTTTGCCAAAATAAAAGGCTTCTGCACAGCTAAAGAAAACATTAGCATAATGAAAAAGGAACCAACAGTATGGGAAAATACATTTTCCGATGATACCTTGGACAAGGGTTTGATCTACAAAACATATAAAGAACTCACACAATTCCGCTCCAGGAAGATAAGCAACCCAATTAAAAAATGGGCAAAGGACATAAACAGACACTTCTCCTAAAAGGACATATAGAGGGTCCATAGGTATATGAAAGAATGCTCAGCAACATTAGCCATCAGAGAGACACAAATTAAAACCACAATGAGATACCACTTCACACTGGTGAGAATGGCTATCATAAACATATCAACAAACAGTAAGTGCTGGCGAGGTTGTGGAGAAAAGGGAACCCTAGTATATTGTTGGTGGGAATGCAGACTGGTGTAAACACTGTGGAAAACAGTATGGAATTTCCTCAAAAAACTAAAAATGGAATTGCCTTTTGATCCAGCAATTCCAATGGTAGGATCATACCATAAGAAGGCTGAAACAGTGATTCAGAAGAACCTATGCACCCCAAAGTTCATAGCAGCACAATCTATACTAGCCAAGTGTTGGAAGCAGCCTAGGTGCCCATCATTAAATGAGTGGACCAAAAAACGGTGGTATATCTTCACAATGGAATCCTATGCAGCAGAAAGAAAGAAGGAGCTCCTACCCCTCGAGACAGCATGGATGGAACTGGAGAGCATTATGCTAAGTGAAGTAAGCCAGGTGGTGAAACACAAATACCATATGATCTCACCTATAAGTGGAACCTAATTAACAAAACAAATAAGCAAGCAAAATATAACTCAAGACATTGAAATTAAGAACAAACTGACAGTAAGCAGACAGGAGGGAGGGAAATGATGTGGGAAAGAATGGAAAGGATCATAAATGAGCATGTATAAAGGACCCATGGACACAGCAAAAGGGGGATAGGATTGAGAGTGGGAGGTGGGGGTGGGTAGAGCAGGAGAAAGTGGTGGTGGGAAAATGGAGACAACTGTATTTGAATATTAATAATTTTTAAAGAAAAAAAGAAACAATTTTAATTTGAAGGATATAAAATTTCTAATATTAAACTAATTTTGATTTTATAAAGATTTACTCAGTAATTTTATATATCACATTGTGCTAAGGAACTTAAAACACTGAATTCTGCTTTGTAAGCTCTGTGCAATGGAACACATTTTTAAATTTAAGACAAACTAGTTAACTCTTAAACTATATTAACAATATAAACAAGACACTCTAAGCAGTATATACTTCATTAATAATGAGAATCAGAGCCTATCTTATGGTTCACAATACTGTCATACTTATAGTCAGCCCAACTAAGGTAGTTTGAAAGATCAATTATATCTATTTATTTAAGTTTAATCTTCATTTTTTTCCATTACTATTTAGTCCCCTTCTACATCCCTCCTCCCAAGCAATCACCACACTGCTGTCCATCTCCATAAGTCCTTTTTCCTTTTTCTTCAATCTGTCTACCCCTTAACCTACCCCCACACCCAGCCATCATCCTGCACTCCATCTACGGGTCTCTCCCCATTTTTCCTTGCTAGTTCAGTTTGTTCACTAGATTCCACATCTGAGTGAAATCATTTGGTATTGTCATTCTCTGATTTCATTTAGCATAATGTTTTCCAGGTCCATCCACACTGTAGTGAAAGGTAATTTTTACAGCTGAGTAGCATTATATTGTGTAAATGTCCCACAGTTGTTTTATCCACTCATCTAGTGATGGACACTTGGGCTGCTTCCATATCTTGGTTAGTGTAAATAATGCTGCAATGAATATAGGGGTGCTTATGTACTTTCAAATTAGTGTTTTGGGTCCCTTTGGGTATATTCCCAGAAGTCGGATCACTGGGTCAAAAGGCAGATCCATTTTTAATTTTTTGAGCTATCTCCATACTGATTTTCACTGTGGCTGCACTAACCTGCATTCCCACCAACAGTGCAAAAGAGTTCCCTTTTCTCTGCATCCTTATCAGAATTTGACTTATTGACGATAGCCATTCTGACAGGTGTGAGGCGATACTTCATTGTGGTTTTAATTTGCCTTTCTCTGATGATTAGTGACATTGAGCATCTTTTCATACGTCTATTGGCCCTCATTTGCCTGTATGATCTTAGAGAAGTGTCTATTCAGGTCCTTTGCCAATTTTTTAATTGGGTTTTCTTTTTTTTTGGTGTTGTATTTTGTAAATACTTAATAAATTTTGGACATTGACCCCTTATCTGCGATGTATTAATGAGTATGTTCTGCCATTTTGTGGGTTTATTGTGTTGATTTACTTTGCTATACAGAGTTTTTAGTTTAATGTAGTCCCATTTATTTTCTCGTTTCCCTTGCCTGCTGAGATATTGCTACAAGCAATGTCTGAGATTTTGTTGTCTGTTTTCCCCTATGGTTTTTATAGTTTCAGGTCTAACATTTAAGTCTTTGATCCATTTAGAATTTATTCTTTTGTGTGGTGTAAGATGGTCTAGTTCTGTTTTTCTGCACTTATCTGTCCATTTTTCCTAACACCATTTACTAAATAAACTATCATTAGCCCATTGTGTTTGCTTTCTCTATCAAATATTAATTGGCTATAAAGTTGTGGGTTTATTTCTGGGCTCTCTGTTCCGTTGATCTATGTGTCTATTTTTATGCCAGTACCATGCTGTTTTGATTACTATGACCTTATAGTATAGTTTAGTAGGTAGTGTGATTCCTCCAACTTTGTTCTTTCTCAGAATTACTTTTGCTATGTGGGGCCATTTGTGGTTCCACACAAATTTTTTTAAGAAAGTTTTTACTGCTTACAATGATATAAAACATATCATTTAAACTTCCCTCTATGTATGAAGTGCTTGCCTGCAACAGGATAAAAAAACTTTTGTACATCTGACGAGCTCAAATGACTTGTCTCATGCTGGGAGGGGAGAAATAGTGATAGCAGCTCTTTCACTCTGAAAATGCTACATTGGTGAAAATCAACGGACAACCCTTTTGTATGTCAAATTGTAAATTTTAATGTTTTCATTAGAATAGTCTTTTATATCATAACTCTCCAACAAGAAACAATAAAACAACTAACAGTAAACTCCAGTACAAGTACATTCCCCAGATTAAGAATTCAAACAAATGTAAAAGGTAAATCACATATAATACAATTGAAGCATCTAAAACAATTTAAATAATTTAAAATTTTTAAACTGCTACACATGCTTTACATATATTTCAACATAAAAGTCCCCAGAACAGAATTTTTTTAACTATTCGTTATAGTTCTGTGAAATATGTCACTGGAATTTTGAAAGGAATTGCATTGAATCTATAGATTACTTTGGGTAGTATAGACATTTTAATGACATTAATTCTTCCTATGCATGAACATGGTATGTGAGATCAATTATATTTATATACTACACTTAACTCCATGGTTAAAAAGTATGTGTTCCTTTCCTCTCAGAAAATTATTTTGATTAAAATATATATTTATCAATAAAATATTTCTCTTTGGTATTTACCAACATAGAGGGATACATATAAAGATACACACACACACACACACACACACACACACACACACACAAACCTTTCCTCAATCTTATGTGAGATTTCTGGGTCTTCTTGAATTCCTTTCTGTTCTTTAGGTGTCTTTTGAAGCCATGTTTCTGACAATAATAAAAATTCACAGCTCCTTTGCTTTGGGCTGGTATTTAGCTATTGTATTAACAAAGTATAATACAGAATTTAGAATACATAGCTATTACATTTTCTTTATTCTTATATTGAGAATCACATGAAAATATCAATCTTCCTAGGTAATACAATTTTAGTCAAGGATCAAGAATATCTACAATAGTACAGCCATACTCATCCCCCTATGTTATGTTCGGAAAAAACAAATTATCTTTAGTGGTATTCTTATAAGAAATAATTCCAGCTTTAGCATATTAGTATGCTATTTCCAATTTCAAATAAGAATATTTTGGGAAGCCCATGCATGACATTCCCCTACTGAAACCAAAGTCACAAAGTTGAGTGGCTTAGAATGGGTTAGTCATCAGGTGAAAGTAATTGCCTAGGACTCTGGCACATGCAGAGAGTCAGGAACAAAACCATAATTAAGATCACAGCATCAAAAGATGCAAAGTTGTTTTATCTTCAGGTTAAAGAGACACCTTTCACACCTTAAACTAATGCAAAACATTCACCTGTGATACTGTTAGGAATGATGCATAAATAAATAGGTAAATAATTAAAAACTCAGTGTATTATTTTTTAAAGTGAATTCCTGGGCATGTCACACAGCACAGAACAAGTGCGACAGTTAAAACATTCAAGCATTAAAAAAACAAAATCTATCTTAACTTCCAGTCTCTGACGAGGTTGTTAAACCTACTGAAGTTTAACTATAATTCTTAGGAATTACACAGTTAAGAAGTTAGGGGTCCAGGGCTATGCTGTGTGTAAACTACCCTTAAATGATTTAGAATAAATATCCTGTGTGTCTGTATACACAGGGCACCAAATCTAGGCTGTAGGGGGTGCTAAGTCACCTAGATGATTTGATGTTTTGACCAAAAACTCTGCATGAGATGTGATGCATGAGCAGGCACATTGTCGTGATGAAGCTACTAATCACCAGTTACCCATAGCTGCTGCCTTGTGAATCACCCAAATAGTTTTCACAGAGGGATGTTCAAGCTTAATGCAAAATTGGATGCAGATTCATTGCTCTACTTGCTCAGTCATTTTGAATGCAACAGCCACATAGTACATACACTCACTCAATGGCATCTACTGCTCCCACTGAGTAGTACAGGGAAGTCATCATTGTTCATGCACGCGCATTCCAATCCACTATCCTTGCCTGCCAGGTTACATCAATGTTGTGCAAACCATTCACATTATATTAATAATGGCTGGACTTTTCCCAAAGTAATACATACACAAGTACATGTATATATATACACAGTACTTACAGATGCAAGCATTGAGAGAGCACAGAGAAGCATACATAATAAAGCAAAAGAGACAAAATCTTAATGGGTGAATTTAGATAAAAGGTACACAGGTGTTCATGTTTTATTTTTCAACTTATCTGTAAGTTTGAAATTATTTTCAATTAAAAATACAAGCAAGTAGGAATAAAAGGCATTCCTTTCTCAGTAAATTCTCTAAAGACGGCCAACTCCAACAGTTCTTTTTGATCCTGTTGTGCTTAGATACTTGTTAAAATGTTATCCCCCATATAGACAACTGTATTTGTTTCATCTTTAAAATACTTTGTTTTAAAGAAAACCTATTTAAAATATTGCCTTTATATCCAAATAAAATAGTAGAGGTAATTTATACCTTTCCCAACAGAAGCAACAGGTGCAACCCAGGTGGCTCTAGCCTTCATAGAAGTTAATCAATCACAGTCGATTAAAAATATCTTCAGAGCAATGTCATTTCCATAATATCCTACTGGTCACAGAAGTCGATCCTATTTAGGCAGGGAGTACATGAGTAATGAAGGGCATGAGTCATTGGAGGCCATCTTGCGGGCTAACTACCACAAAAGGCTGTACAAGATGTAGAAAATACCAAGGGAGTGCAAAGGAGGTACAATGAAACTCCGTTCCTTGGGATGCCAGTGATAAGAAATATTAGGTTATCTCTGGGTATACAACCTTTTAAATTTTGTTTTCTAGTCAGAAATCTGGCTAGTATTTGCAAGAGAAAAATGACAACCTGGCAATATTCCTCCCTCTTATAATCAAACGTCACTAGAATGTACACCTAGTACATTCTAGCTTTACCAAGTTTTTATAATTAGACACCGGGGCCCCACAATTAATACCCATATATACTGCTCCAGACCAGGTAAGTTTCAGTCTGTAAAGAAGTTTAGCCTATCTCCTTAGTATAAAGTTAAATGTATGGTCCCCAACCAACAGATACTGCAAGAGGGTCTCATTACATTCAGAATTAGAATCTTAGAATTCTAGAATTATAAGAGATTTCTGAAAATCTCATCCCTTCTCTTAAAGAAATGGGAATTAAGGCTTAAGAAAGTGATGTGTCAAAAGTCAAAAGGAAGTTGAATACAGAGCTTCTGGATGAACACCTGCTCAGCAATACTGTTGCAATAGGCAATGCATAGATCCACACCAATGGATACTCTCTACAAACTTCCAACCACCACCACCTAGCTTGCACTGTGCACGTACACTCGGACACTCTCCAGTAACAGACAATTGATCAATTCTTTCTAAACTAAATATACAAAGATGGCATATATAATTTAATGTAAAATTAGCGCATAATGTGCTTATTTCTGTAATGGAAATGATGGATTAATTCTGATCCATCTCTAGTTTATTCTTCTTCTGTGAATAGTGAAGGCATATGAAACATGGAATAATATAACTAATCAATTGTATATTATGGTGTAAAGCATGTAGGTGAACAAGGTGGACCAGACAGAGGACCTACATTTTAATTCTAGTTCTTCACATAGATAGCTGTAGGACCTGAATGACTTCTTTATACTTTCTTGACCTGTGTTCTTATCTGTAAAACAAAGGAGAAAATGTTACAGGATGAATTGTATCCTCCAAAAGGATGCTGAAGTCCTAAGGCTCAGGATCTGTGAACATGATTTTATCTGGAAATAAGGTCTTAGCAAATGATCAAGTTAAGATGAGATCATTAGGGTGGGCCATGCTCCACTAAGACCGTGTCCATATAAAAAGGGAAATTTGGACAGAAACAGAAATGTACAGGAAAAATGCCATGTAAACCTGAAGACAAAGATTGGAATGATAATGTCAACAAGCCAAAAAACACCAAAATCTTCCAGCAAACCACTGGAAGCTAGGAAGAGGCCTGGAATAGATTCCTTCTTACAGCCCTCATGATGAACCCACCATATTGACTGACATAGTGATTTTGGATATCTAGTCTCCAGAACTGTGAGACAATATATTTTTTGTTGTTTAAGCCACCCAGTTTGTGGTACTTTGTTACAGCAGCCCTAGCAAATATAAGAAAGATGATTTCTTAACATTCTATCCAGTCTAAAATGGAATAATTCTATGAAATACTACAAATGTTCAAGATGATTTCTCACATTTTACTGTTTACAGTATATCACCAATCTTTCAACAGAAAACACAAAACATATCCTCCATAACTACATGAAAGGAATGGCAAACTTTTTTGCAAAGAGTCAGATAATAAGTATTTTAGGCTTTGTGGACCATATACAACCTCCATCACATACTCTTGTTTTTAACAACTCTTTAAAAATGTAAAAATCACTTTTAGTCCAAGGGACATAAAAAAACAGGCCTCACTACACATTTAACCCAGAGGCCATATTTTGCTGACTCCTGATGTGTGGAGTTAATCTTTTCACTTGAACTCCTTTTTTCTTCAGAATTCCAAGTCTATGGAATACTATTTCAAAGTCTTTTCACAACTAGGTAGAAGATATTTTACACCAGATCAGGCATGATTCCAATGTACTTAGGGTTAGCTATCCCTTTTGACTATTACAACTGTTATAATTGTCCAGGGATTAGCAACTTTCTCCATTTTTCCTTCAGTTACTCTCCATGAAGAAGGGGGCATGGGCATGTCAATTACTTATGACTGTCAACAACATACTTTCAGAAGCACTAGCAGCAGCCCCCTGGCTTTTTCAGGGCCTTTCCCTAAGGATACTCCACGAATATGCTGCTTTCACATCTCACAAAATAATTTATATCTAGAGATTTAAATACAGGGTCTGGCACAAATAATGCCCCTTTTTAATTATACAATCTTTTATTACAAGATTATAAGCATGTAATTCTGTAACATAACAATATTACACTCAAGCACACCATACGACGTTTTAGATGAAATGTTCAAATTGCTCTCCATCTTGTGAGACATTCACATACCCTACCAACCACAATCAAGCAGGCGTTACTTCTGCTGGACTCTGTAATTAGGCTATTTTTCATAACCAACAAGTACTATGGATCTGGATAATGGCAGGGTAAGTATATAAAAAGTAGGGCAATGGCCAAAGACTCAAAAGTTTCAAAGTGATGTCACAAGGCTGTCATAGTTGCTTTTCCTTCTTTTTTCAAATTAGGCCACTGCTGTTTTCTCACTAAAGGAGATGGTTTATGTAAAGTAACATAGTGCCTAGCATAAAATAGATGCTCTGTAAATGCTTAAAGCCTTCTTTCCTTCTTCAATCAGGCTACTCACGTGTCTTTTACAAAGTGAAGATAGAGAAACAACTTGGAAAATTTACCTGCTGCTTCGGAAAAATAGCTAAGGCTTGAGAATATACCTGAAAATATAAAGACTGAAGTTGAAAGAGCCAGCCATCTGGTATGCATTCATGTTGCAATGGGATAGAGTGGTATAGGGCAGGGTGAAAAGGATAGAGAAATGAAAGGAAAAGGGGTTATGGTTATGGGATAAAATAAAGGATAAGATGACACTTCTAACCTGGTCTATTTCAAAAACCAGATCATATAACTTAGTCTCTTTTAAAAAAATGGTTCCTATAATCCATTCCTAATTGTTTTTCCTAAACCAAAAATTTTTGGTTTTGAAAAAATAACATTAAATATTGTACGAAAGGGTGGAAAATGGGCCTTGTCTTAGTCTTCTAAGGCAGTCATAATAAAATATCACAATTGAGTGGCTTAAATAACGGAAATTTATATTCTCACAATTCTGGATGCTGGAATTCCAAGATCAAGGTGTCATCTGTTTTGATGTATTCTGAGGCCTCTTTAGTTTGCAGATGGTCACTTTCTTGCTGGATCTTCATGTGGTCTTCACAGTACATGTGCATGTGTGTCCTAATCTCCTTATAAGGACACCAGTCATAATGGATTAGGGCCTGCCATAAAGAGTTTAACTTAATCACCTCTTTAAAGATCTTAGCTCCAAATATAGTTACATTCTGAGATAGTGGGGTTAAATCTTCTGTATATGAATTGGGCGGTGCAGGGGTGGAAGTACACACAGTTCAGCCCCTAACAGCCCCAAATCTCAATTTGTCACACTGTAGTTTTATTTATAGTACAGTAATTACATCTGTGTTTATCTAAATGTCATATATGCAAATAAAATAATATAGCATGATGATATGAATTTATTTAAAGGCATCTCCTCTTTTTTCTGTGGAAACCCAAATCTATAAAATGTACAAAGTGTGGTGAGTTACTTGGTAATATGCCAAAGCCGGCCCATGGTGACAGGTAGACCACAAGAACACCATAAAAAAATCTTTCCTAATCTTAGTTTCCTCAATGGCTTGCCACAAAACCTAAAATTCTATTTTATCCCTTCACTGGCATTTTATTTCCTCTGAAAATGTAAGTAACCTCTGGGAGAGTAATATATTAGGTGATCATCAGCCACTAACACCTTAGGGTAGAACAGCTAAGATTGCAGTCTTCAAATAACTAATTGCATTGGAATGGAATATTTTTTATTGCCACTCTGCCACTGGAATGTTAATGACAGTCGCCTTTAATAATAATTCTAGGCTAGGACATTCGCAATATTTTTAGGATAATGAGACAAATAGCATGTACAAAAACATTTCCTCATCTAATAAAGAAACTTGAGAAGAGTAAGAGGAAGTGTGAAACTAACATTTTTGAGCACCTGCTCTCTATCATATGCTCTGCTAGGCACTTTAGAAATCAAATTATTAGCCCTGGCTGGTGTGGCTCAGTGGACTGAGTGCTGGCTTCTGAACCAAGTATCACTGGTTTGATTCCCAGTCAAGGCCCATGCCTAGGTTGCAGGCCAGGTCCCCCAGTTGGGGGCATGCAAAAGGCAACCATACATGGATGATTCTCTCCCTCTCTTTCTCCCTTTCTTCCCCCATCTTTGAAGGTGAATAAATAAAATCTTTAAAAAAAGAAATCAAAGTATTAAATCCTAAAAATAATTCTTTATAGGAGTATTAACACCATTTTACAGTTGAGGAATTAGGATCAGATACATTAATGTTAATAAATTTGTGATAAGTAAAGAGATTAAAACCCATGTCTGGTTCTGTGGCTTGCCTGTACTCGGGTCAAAATAGTGCTGGGCTTTAGTTTCCTCATGTTAAAAATTAAGGTATCATTGGTATCTACTTTTAATAGCATAGTTGTAAGGTTTAAATGAGTTAATCTGCATAAATAACAGTATGGTAGAATGCAGTTGAGGTGATGTTTGGCAACTTCTGACAGTCTCAGAAGAAGCCCTGAAGCCTTTTGCTTTTATCCTCTTGAACACTTCTGCTGCCATGTTAGAAAGTCTGAGAGAGACTACCAATGAGAGACCTCTGGGAGACAAAGAAGCCCAGCTGACAAGCAGCACATGAGCCCCAGACACACAGTGTGCACATACTAGATTGACTGCAGCTGCAGGAGCAGACTCAGGTGAGACCAGCAGAACTTCACAGTTACCTACAGAATCATGAGAAATAAAAAAACCCCCTTTTTAAATCTTCACCCAAGAACATGCTTTTTTTTTTTTTTTTTTTTGAGAGTGAGAGGAAGAGAGGGAGAAAGAGAGGGGGAGAAACTGATTAGTTGCCTTTCATACACACCCTGATTGGTGACTAAACCTGCATCCTAGGTATGTGCCCTGATCCAGAATCAAACCTACAACCATTTGGTTTGTAGGACGATGCCCAACTGACTGAGCCATACCAGCCAGGGCAATAATAAACCCTTTTTTTTTAAAGCCCCAAAGTTTTGGAGTGGTTTGTTGTACAACAAATGACTATTTTGATTATACTAAAAACACAGTTTACAATCCCAAATTAAAAGTTTAAGAATGAGATAAAAAGAACACATTATAAACCATACTTTAAAGCAAAGACCTCCAAGTTTGAAAAAGTGATTTTTCAATACCTAATAGTTAAAATAATCCTAGAACCTATGTGACTTGTCACAGCTAGCAGGCCCTATTTGTTTGATCAACACTTTGGTAAGCACTGAGGAAGACCACGAGTTCTAAAGTACAGATGACCAGATAACCCTATCTTTTTCGTTCCCCTTGTCGAAGAGAAACAGGTCAGCAGTCTCTACCCTTTCATTTCCCCACTCTGAGGCATTTGATTCAACTTTAATTCATCATACTAAATAACAAAGCTTTCCTTCCAATTTTGACAATGTAAACATCCCCTCATTGCTATTATTTCAAAATCTGTACCTATAGTCCCACCATTCCTCCTGAGATCAAGACTCCTCTTAACTACCTGAGAGAACAATTTCCTCATGGAGGTACCTTGGTATCTGTTCAAAACTGAACTAATCATTTGCACCACTCTTCTTCCTCCTTCTCTACTGTTACTGACCTCTCTCTTGTCTATACTATCAGAGTAAATTCTATTTAAGCATCTTTTTTTTTCTGGGAGACCCTTCAATTTCTGGGGCTAGGTTAGGGGCTAAGCCTTTCTTGAAATTTTAGCACTTATCTTGGTACATTACTGCAATTGTGTACATTATTAAAATTGTGCATCTTGTGTACATTACCATTGTACTTTTCACTTACCATTTATTTAACAACTACAATATGTAAGGCATTGATAAATTATGCAGTAAAGAAAAATAAGGCAGGGTAAAAGGTTGCATTTATCTAGTTGAAAGGGTGCCCTTGATAACTTGCAAGAAAACAGCTCTACACACACAAAAAAGTGATCTTCACCTATGTGTGTGTGCACGCAGAAAAGGAATCTGTAGAAATTTATAGATTTGATCCTAATGAGATGGGAAGCCACTGGAATGTTTTGAGGAAAGGTATGAAATGATCTACGTGTTTACACAACTTGCTTGTTAGATGGAGGATAAACTATAGGGAGGGAAGGAAGCAAGAACAGGAGGCCATGGCTATAATCCACTGGCTCTCAACTGGAGGCAGTTTTGCTCTCAGGGGACATTTTAGCTGTTTGGTGACACTTTTGGTTGTCACAACTGTGGAAGAGGGGTTGCTACTTGCATCCAGTGGGAAGAGGCTATAGATACTGCTAAGCATCCTACAATGCACAGAACAGCCCACTCCCTCCAAAAGAAGTACTGTCCCCAAATGTCAAATAGTGCCAAAGTTGAGAAACTGTTGTAATCTATGATGGAATGAATGGTGGCTTGGATTCAGATGGTAGTGGTGAGAAATGGAGAAGCACTTAGATCCCGGATATATTTTAAAAGTAGAGCCTACCATATTTGCTGAGGGGTTAAATGTACAGCACAAAAGAAAAAAGAGGAATCAAAGAGCAAGGTCTCTCATCTTGTTCTGTGGAGATGTGCAAGAATGTGGGAGTAGCAGGTAGAGAACAGGTGTTTTGTTTTCTTTGGGGGTGACCAAAAGTGACTGATGTGACTCAAGTATTCAGTTTTATACATTATTAAATTTAAAATTCTATCTACTTGGCACATCTTGGCAGATGGATATATGAATCTGAAGTTCAGGGATGAGGTTGGGGTTGAAGATATAAACTTAGGAAGCTTAGCATCTAGTGTTCCAAACTATAGGACAGGTAAGATTATTTAGGGTTGAATACAAACTGAGAAGAGCTTTAAGGCATTCCAATGTTTAAAGAGGAGGACAGTAGAAGATACTACTATGAAGGTGAAGAAGGCCTGAGGTAGGAGAACTGAGAGTAGGCGTGAGTGATAAATCTTTCTGGAGGGGATTCTTTTCTCTCAACTTATTGCTTTACATGCTCAAACATACAGAAAAGTTTATAGTATGATAACCCCCAACTTATATCTACCACAGATTCAACATTTAACACTATCATATTATGTTTTTCCTATATGTACACATTTATGCACACACATATTGAAGATAATTTTACCTCTAAATACACTTCGGATACACCTCATTAAAGAAAAAAGGCCATTCTCCTAAATAATGGTAATAACCATCAATACACCTAGGAAACCAAAAATTATCCAAATTCCCCTAATGTGTTTGACAGCAGTTTCCCTCCCCAACTCCCTACCCCCACCAAAATCATGACTTAATCAAAGTCTTTGCATTGCATTTGGCTATCATGTATCTTTGGCCTCTATGAATGACATTTGAAAAGACCTCTTATAAAATAGATCTGGCTGATTCTTTCTGTCATGCCATTTAACTTGTTATGTGAAAGTTTTGGAAGGTAATAAACATTTATTATTCCTGGCACAATAGCCTAAAATGAACATTTTCCAACTTTCCTCTCTGCCCTTGAATTTTCAGAAAATAATTTATTCCAAAATTTCTTTTCGTGTGACTGCCAAGTGAGTAACTTTCAGGATTTATATACTCCATACTCAGAAAAAATATACTACCACCTCTCGATTGCTATAAGAATTCATGGGAGGTCTCATCTTAAAGCTAATCAGCATCTAAACCAAACATCATTTTATTGATTAATCATGACAAATTACATTTGAGAAGTAAAATGAATTCTCTGAAATTTCTTTCCTGATTAGCAAAATAGTGCCTTCCTGATACTTGAGCATAAAAGCTGCTGTTAAATATGCCTACATGACTGGAAATTATAACGGCCAAACAAGCCCACTAGTCTGGTGCCAGATCATATGCTCTATACACTCTTCTGTGTACTAAATAGCTTAAATACTGATAAAAATTTTGCTTATTAGGGCTTCTATAACTGGTCTTCCATGTATAAATTCTTTAATGTGCATTCTTTTAGCAACTTAAAATGCAAACTGACTCAACAATGTTTATTGCTAGAATTCCAAAGCACATTGAGGCATTCAGTTAAAACATTTTCTGCCATAATCTTCAAATTATTCTTTTCCACTGCTGGAAAGCAT